AAATAGACCAATAACCCCTAAAGAAATAGAAACAGTCAGCAAAAGTCGGTCCCTAGGACGACTGTGGCTTATAATAAACTTCGGTTTTACTCAAGTACTGAGCAAGCCTCAATGAAACATCTCACTATTAAAATAAGAATACATACTCTATCAAGATGATAATAGAAAAATAAATAAATTAACTAATTTTAAATAATAAAAATAAATAAAAATAGAAAAATTTGAAATATTAAACAAACAAACAAACATTTCACTAAAGTTAAAAATAAGGAGAACTAAGGACTTATCATTCCTCTCCACATTCTATTCTTTCCCTTTTTTATATATTTTAAATTGTTTTATCAGTGGATTCTGCTGGAGTTTATCAGTGGATTCTGCTGGAGGATCTGATGCAGATAAGCACTGGAGGGCTCCTGTTGCAACTCACCCTCTGGACCGATGGAAGGATCTTTCTACTAGCATGTGGAGGAGACCCGATCTAGTGTTGGTGTGGCCCCAGAGTTTGCTTTACGTCTTTCCTCAGGACAATGAGGTTCCTCTTTGGATTCTGAGCACTGAACGCACCCTGTGGCTGCTGCTGAAGCCCAACATGACAGAGACCTAATGGGTCATCATGAAAAAATTTACCCTTCTGATGCCAATGGAGATTGAGAGCCCAATATGGCCAGCTTTGGCAAGCACTAATGTAAGCCTAGGAACAGTAGCAGTGAGATTGGATTCTCCAGAAGAGCTGCCAGCCAAAGCCATGCTTGGATCAAGAAAAACGGGCCTTGGCGGTTCGTGTTCCTGGAGTTGTATCCATGCCAGTGGATATCCACACAATCCAGAAGAGAATTTGACATTGCTGCTGCCGCTGTTGCTGGTATAACAATGGTGCACACCGCTGCTACTGTTTCTGGGATTACCATTTCATAATTGCTTACTACAGCTAGCACAGTGGAGACCCTGGCAACAAAAGTAGCTACCACAGTTAGTTAATCTTTCATTCTATTGGGCATGATAAATTTAATTGAGTAGTTATATACATCTCGATTGGCTTTGAAAATTATAAATTTATAAACTCAAGTTCCAGTTGCTTTTGGGATACTATCTTACAAGGACTCCAACATACAGTATGGCTCGATAAGGAAGGGAATGGCTCAGTTGCCTTTAGCCTACTGGCTATGGGTGAGATAGGACCTCTGTTGGTCTTTTCTGTATCGAATACACAGATTGCAAGCCCAGTGCCACTTTGAGATCTTTGACAGCAATTAACCATGCAGCTCACACACGATTGAGCCGGTATGATAATGAGTATTCAGAGATGGGTAATGTCTGGGGGGCACTCACCACCCTAAGACAGAGCACCTGTGTGGCCTGGGCAGGCGTCTCCATGACGGGTAAGGTAACCTACTGACGTCCCACGCAACCCAAGTCAGAAGCTCATTTCTTAATAAAAGGGGGACCTGCAGGCCCCTGGCCCCCGTTTTGGGTAACTGTTGCCTTGCTTGTGGACCTTGACCTTGATATCCTCCCAATGATAATTCCCTGCCTGGTTCCACCCTCCTGAATGCTTAAGGGAAGTTCCTTGTCTGTGTATCCTGAACAATGGGCGTTAACAGCTTAGATACAAGATTGTAAAACATCAGTAGCGAACTTCTGCCCTCCGCGGTCCTCCCATTGTGCTGTAAGCCTGTAATTAAGACCTCCTACCCCCTTCAAGAAATTACATTCGACATTTAAAATTAAATATATATATATATAATTAAATATATATATGTAATTGAATGAATACTGCGAATGTAATCTATGAATACCACAAATGTGATTAATATCATGAGTGTAATTTTAAAAATTAATTAATTAATTAATTAATTAATTTAAAAAAGAATTAAAACAAACCCACAGCTATGTAAACATTTTGAACTAACAACCTGTAATCAGAGGCTGTAAATCCTGATCCCAGGATGCACGCTCCAAAGGTTGTAAATCCCAATCCAGGAATGCACTCCCCATCCTGCGTATGGTCTTTGCTATAAAAAGATGCTTATAGCCTCATCTCAGGGTCACAGAGCCAGATCCTGATCTAGTTAGAAGTTTTTGTACCCCGCAGTAATGGAATAAAGTTTGCTTCCAGTTAATAGACTTTGGGGGTCTGATCCCCATTATTTGCACAACCCTAGAACCTAACAGTATCTCTTAGGTACCAACAATTCTTTCCTTTCTCCTTGGTATTTAACTAACAAGACAAGCCCCCACTCTACACAGACACAATCAACACCAAGGAGAACAACAGTGTTCTCAATTTCAAGTTCTTCATTTGATAATAATTTAAAGCTAGGGATTCTTAGCATGGTCCTTTTATGTGCCAGGTCTTATACATCGCCACTTGACTCAGATTACTTTCTGGTTTTAAACTAAGGAGACAGGGATGTGTTTAGACTTTAACTCTTGCTAAAATAAACCGCTTAACAAAAATGGATGAATTCAGTCAATCTTGCTTTCAGATTATAGCTATGCCTGAGGAATCCCACTAAATTTAAATATGGCCCTAAAGTCTCAAGCAAATGAATACATACAGAAGAAAACAATAGGCATGCTTTACTTGAACTCTATTCTTGCTTAGATTTCCCATAGTCATAGTCTTCATTATAGAAAAACATCCCATATTGACCATAAATCTTCTAACACAGGAGACAGTAAAATAAAATCAAAGACATTCCCAACTTCCTGGCTTGATAAGATGGTAGCACAGATCCCCAGTTCAAACACCTAACAGAGAAAACATGTTAAAATAAGAACTCTGGGGCTAAATTTTATATTAGAAACCATTTTAGGAGAGTGATAATCTCTATTGTTTCTCCATCTGTGCCCAGCTTTACTTGCTAAAACCAAACATACAGGGCATCTATTAATGGCTTCCTACAATCTTAATTTGGTGGTACTACCACCCAGCCCCCAAGAAGCAATATTCTTGAAATTACTGATTCCATCCATTCAACATCTAGCAATTACTGGGCTCCAGTCAATTTTGTAGTGTTCCAACATGTTCTGTGCCTATTTCAATAGCCTCTCAGCTGGAGATTGCTTCCATATCCACAGGGAAATAATACATGTTTTCTAGGCTACCTAATAGAGCTGTCTTCAAGTACTACTGTTGCGAGCAAGAGCTCACCTTCTTCAGGAACACAAGCATAACACTGCACTGGAGAGTTAATGACCTAAAATAAAGAGTCTGAGAGGACTTGAGAAACCGGACTCTACATACTGATGAGAAAACCTGTCATAAAAGGAAGCCAACAGTGATGAAAATATCTGCAGTCAGGAGCCAAGAGAAACCTGACAAGGTCAACACATGATTAAAAAAACATCTGCAGGCATGTCTTAGACTACCTGAGACTACAAAAAACAACATACAGATAAAATTTCCATCTTTTTTCTGCCTTCTAAAACCCCACCTTGGCACACAGTCTCCACTTCTGCAGTAAAGGGCAGTGTGCTTCTGTTGAGACTGGTCTCCTTCCTTTTATTTACACATTGCCTGTCAATCCTGACATAACAATACCAGTCTTCTCCAAGGAAACTCAGGTGACACTCTAAAAAAGATAGCTCCAATACCTACCAACATTTTGGGAGGAAGGAGGGGTCACTGTCTCCTACTTCCTTCCCTCTTGGCATGACTAACTCTGACATCTAGTATTTTGGACTAAACTATCATTCTTTTCTTCACTTGACATACAAAGATAGGAAAAATACTGCCCCTTACTTAGAGTCCTCATCAATTTTCAGTTACATATTTATTTCCTTGATTAATATTAGGCTTCTCCAATTGTTACAAGCTCCCTAAGAACAGCTATAGGCTGAATTTTGCTGCTTTGCCATACCAACTATTCATGTATATAAGAAGTGAACAAAACATTTAAATGTGTCAAGAAGAGGCTAGGGATGTACATCAGTGGTACCGGAATTGCCTCATATGTGCAAGGCTAAGAATTCAATCCCTTGCACTACAAAATAAATGAACATAGTTATCACAATAGATAACTTTCTGAAGAATGAGCGACTGTTTCAAAACAATACAACAGAATAACTATAACCATTGCTCTAAGCACCAAGAAACTTAAGGACATAATCACTTTCAATGCCATAAACCTTCAAAGGGAGCTAGAGAGGGCTCTTTCAAAGAGCAGATTTACAACCAACTGTAACTCTAGCTCCCTCCTCTGGGGAATCTCTCTTCTGGCCTCTTCGGGTACCCACACACACTTGCACGTACAAGCACACAGACAAAAACATAAATAATAAATCTTGGGGGGAAAACCACCTTTGATGAGGTATTAGAACCAAGAACAACCAAAAGCATATTTTTGAACATGTGGAGAATTTTTTTCCACAAAGGCCATATGTTAATGACATTTTAATATCTCTATTTTTTTTAGATTTATGTGTTTTATGTGTGTTTTGGTTGCATGTATATCTGTGTACCACGTGTGTGTCCAGTGCCCAAAGAGGTCAGAAGAGGGGGTTAGATCACCTAGGACTGGAGTTACTGATGGTTGTCAGCTACCATATGGTTACTAGGAATAGAACCTGAGTCCTCTAAGAGCAGCAAAGGCTCTTAACCACTGAGCCATCTGCCCAGTCCCTAATCTTCTGATTTTATGATGCGTTACCAGACACTTAAAGCTCAATTACCACACCTGCAACTGTCAAACTGTTTCCTTTGAAACAGCTGAAAATTGGAGTTTAAAAAAAAAAAGGCCATACTTACATCAACGACGCTATAAGGCTAATTAGAACTTAATGATTGCTGCATATCCATAGCAAAAAATTATCTGGGATTATGTTTAGTCTCCCAGACTAATACGGTTTAATAACCATCTAATGCCCACCTCTGTACCTGACCTAACAACATTTCAACTGTCAGGTAAAAACTTTGTTCAGTATTCTTAGCAGGACACTAGCCTCCACCAGCCCAATGGGTAACAACCTGTTATGGCCTGGCTGTAACCCAACTTTACCTGGTGTTTCCGCCAAGGTTTTGAAATTGCCTTGATATATGACTTTTGGTCTAGAATTATAAAACGTTCACATTGCCAGGCGTAGTCACCCATGCCTTTAATCCTACCACTCCGAAGACAGAGCCAGGCCAAATTCTGTTCCAGGCCAACCTGGTCTACTCTGGGAGTTCCAGGCCAGCCAGGGCTACACAGTGTCACTCTCGCTGTATAGCCTGGCTCGCAGAAAAATAAAGAAAAAGAAAAAGAAATCATGTAACCACTTCCACACTGGAACATGTTACTTGGGCAACAAATGTTCTCGGGTCATGGTCATTATTTGGTTCAGAATAAACTCTTACTATCTTTGAGGTGAGAGCGATTTTTTTTTTTTCTGCAAAAACAAATCAAACCCAATACTTTAATAGTCTCCACCGTTTCATCCTGCAGGCCCTGCTCTGAACCCCTGTGGGCAGGACCTAAGAAGTTCAGATGGACAGAATGACTGGACACTGTTTCTCATTCAGTACACACGCGTTTACATGAACGCTGACAACTAAGAAAGCGGCTTCCTACCCTAATGTTACTGAGTTTTGGAAACAAGGAACGAAGAGGACGCCGAATTCTGATGACACATTTGTCTGTGAATACAGGGTGGCAACGCTCTCTCGGCGGCTGTCAGCTCGCACTCACTCACCTGAAGGCGCCGGACCCGCCAGCTCCAGAGGACGCCAGACAGAGAACTAACCGCGCAGCGGAGATCCTGGGGGCGCTCGCGGGTCCGCAAGGCCGAGGTCCAAGCCCGCCTCCCCCAGGCCGCCCGCCGGGCGCCGCCTCTGCCGAGCAACCGGACTCCAAACTCGGAACCCCCGCCGGGAGAGACGGAAGGCAACGCCGACAGCGCTTCCGCTTCCGCCTTGAGGCTACAGGACGGCTTCCGGCTCCCGCTCAGGCGGTTTGGAAGACCTTCAGGGGCAGAAGTTCGTTTCTTGGCATCACCCAGGTCGACGGGCGAAGAGACCGCGGAGGGCGGCTAATGTCACTTCCGCTTTCCGCTCCCGTCTCCTCCGGCTTCCGGTGCTTCCGTTGACCCGGAGACCCTTCGGGCAGGGAAATGAGTTTCTTGCCCCAAGTCGATCAAGGGTCTTTAGAGTCTGGGCAGACCTGACCGCGGAGCCGGCTCACTAGCCTTGTTAGGCGACAGGAGGACCAGGACACAGGACAGGCCTGTCAGCGCATGTCACACGCCCTTGCTCTTCTTCCCGGTTTGAGGCCCGGGCCCGGTGCACACTCTTCAGTATTCCGGTGCTTGTGTCTCTAGCCACAGAATTAGACGAGGAACACGCGGTTAGAAGTAAAGACGGTTTGTTAAAATACGGAAAGCAGTGCGGATGAGATGGCTCAGAGGGTAAAGGCGCTTGCCTTCAAGTCTGACGACCTGAGTTCAGCCCCTGGAGAACTGACTCCCGCAAGTAGTCCTCTGCCCTTCACACTCTCACACACATCATACAAAATAATAACTAAAAGACAGGAGGGCGGAGAGCCCCGCACCTTTAATTCCAGCGCTTGGGGGAGGCAGAAGCCGCCTGAGTTGAGTCCAGCCTGGTCGAAAAGAAAAGAAAAGCTAATTTAAAGGAGAGGGGAGCACTCCCGAGGAATCTGTTCCAAGTGCACTGGGCCAAGAGCCTTATGACCTTTAATATGACATTTATTATAGTAGCTGCCTCTCCTAAGTATGTGAGGGCTTCTCTTGAGCGTGCTCCATTTGTTATATAAAGCCCAGTGAGGAAGTCTTTTTCTGCCAACTGGCTTCTTTGATAAGTTTAATATTGATTGGTGTGTCTGGATACACGAAACAGTAGTTTAGCTTGAACTGTTTGTGGGGGGGGCGGAGATCCGGATCCGTCCCTAGAGCATGAGCAGGCTTTTTGAAGCCCAGTGCATAAGGTGTGACACTTTGCAGCCTTGATGTAGGGGGAGGGGCTTGGACCTGCCTCAACTGAGTGTGACTCCCCATGGGATACCTTGCCTTGGAGGAGGTGGGAATGGGAGGTGGGTTGGGGGGAAGGCTGAGGGTCGGGAAGAGGAAGGAGGGGAGATCTGTGGCTGGCATGTAAAATGAGTAGAAAATTTCTTAATAATATTCAACAACAAAAAATATCGGTGTAGTATTTGTAACTTGGGGGGAGCAGCCCCCAGCTACCACCAATGTAATGCAAGAAAACCCACGCCTGCAGCAAGGGCTTAGGAAAACTCATATATCTGAGCGCTAGACTTCTTCTATCTGAGGGGTAAATAATAAGGAAACACACGCTTTCTGATAACTTTCTCTTACTTCAACTTAAGAAATCCTCTCTCAGAGATGTGGAGATCCACAGCCAAGCACCAGGCCAGGCTCCAGGAATCCAGTTGAAGAGAGGGAAGAGGGATTAATTATATGAGCAAGAGGGGTCAAGATCATGATGGGGAAATCTACAGAAACAACCAAACCAAGCTAGTGGGAACTCATGAACTTTAGACCAACAGCTATAGACCCTGCATGGGACTAGACTAGGCCCTCTGCATAAGTGAGACAGTTGTATAGTCTGATTTGCTTAAGGGGCCCCTGGCAGTAGGATCAGGATCCATCCCTGGTGCATGAGCAGGCTTTTTGGAGCCCATTACCTATGGTGGGACACCTTGCACAGCCTTGATACAGGGGGAGGGGCTTGGACCTGACTCAACTGAATGTACCAGGCTTTGCTGACTCCCCATGAGAGGCTTTACCTTTTTGAAGGAAAGATGAGAGAGGGATCTATGGTTGGTATGTAAAATAAATTTTTAAAAAATTCCTAATAAAGAAAAAATCCTCTCTCTTAAAATATCTCTGTAGCATGAATATTAAAAAGTTCATATTAATAAGATCAAACCCAGACCAGGTATTGGGGTGAATCCTGGAAGATCAGAGAGACAGAACAAGCCACAGCTAACCTCACCTGGCCAACTTCTCAGCTGATCTTGTTTCCTGAGACTGGATGCTTCTGTGTCCTCATATCCGAATGTCTCTCAGCTGAACTGTGCTGCTAGAAGCCTGAAAGCTTAGCCAGTCAAATGCTTAACCAGTCAAATGCTTCTAGTTTCTGGTCCTCACGCCTTATATACCTTTCTGCTTTCTACCACCACTCCCTGGGATTAAAGGCTTGTTTTCTAGGATTAAAGGCATGTGCCACCATGCCTGGCCGTTTCCAATGTGGCCTTGAACTCACAGAGATCCAGAGGGATTTCTACCTCTGGAGTGCTAGGATTAAAGGTGTGAGTGTCACCATTTTCTAGCCTTTGTATCTAGTGGCTGTTCTGTCTCTGACCCCAGATAAGCTTATTAGGGTGCACAATATTTTGGGGAACACAATACCACCACATATCTCTCTGAAAATATCTGTCTCCACACAGTTACATCTCTCTACATACAGCTACATTTTCCACACACACTTACACAGCCTTTTCTTCTCTCTGAAAATCTCTCTTGCTGTCTCTCCTGCCTACCTATTCGTGTTCTCGCCTCAGCTCCTTCACACACACACACACACACACACACACACACACACACACACACACACATTCACTGCCCAGGTCTTTCCACAGTTCCCTCACATAGCTCTTCCTTCATGGCGGTGGCGGCGGTGGCTCTTTCACCCAGCTCTGCACAGCCGTCTCTCCCCACACCACAGCTGCTGTCCCACAGCCAAACTCTGGACAATTATAAGTTACATTTTTCAAGGCCATACCCATTCTCAGAACAAGATAAGTCACGTAGTTTCTCTTGGGCTAGTGATGTCACATTGACCCATGCACGTAGCTCTAAGTTGGTGAGGGGCCCCCGACAGTAAACAGTTGGCTGAACCTTGAGCTGTCAGGATATGGGCAGAAAGAGGGCTGCTGCAGGGAGCCCTATCCAGTGTAAACAGCCTGGCCTTGATTGAGCAATAAACAACACCCGGGAATTAGTCTTTGTGTATTTTCTACAGGGCAGTTTAGTCTGTTTTGAATTTGTTCTGAAGTCTAAAATTAGCTGTCTGTGTAAAAGTTTGTCTTTGTGCCTGAGAATCCTATGTCAGTCTGAGTAATGTAAAATATTCTAGTATTATTTCTATACATCAAAATTATACACCTTAAACAGAAATCATCTTCCTGAACATCCACAGCTGTAAGTGTGCCCAAAGATGGAATATATTCTCGAGATAAACACACAAGCAGTGGGAAACACCCATAGCAGTTCTTAGGGAAGAAATGTGTTGGCACACAAGAGAAATTACAGACGGAAAACAACTGGTTTCCACAGCCAGTGACCCCATGGCCTTGCCAGGTGGGGCTCCCCATCAGGTGGGCCTGATGGGTCGACCTGTTAAACACTAGTTGTCACTGCTGTACATTCCCATGGTCCCCTGCAGCGTAGCATCTTGCAGTCTGTCCTGTCATAACACTCTTCTAGTGACTGCCTGTGTTCCTAGAACCCTATTAAGGCAGAATAGTAAGGAACCTGCCTGACTCCATTTTTAAATGCAGAAGCCATTTTTTTAAAAATAAGTTTCTATTTACTATGAGTGTTGAATAGTTCTATTTCCTGGAACCTGACGTTCCCAACCCATGACCTTGATGTGTCTTTGAGATTGTCCTGACCCTGACCCTCCCTGACTCTCCCTGACACCTCCTAATCACACAGTGAGTGATCACATGATGTTTCTAAAGGGATTTTTGTCTCCCTTCGGTAAAAATACTAGTGATTTTTCTCCTTAAAATGGGCCCAAGAGGAGGATTCGGGCTGATCTCTTTAACTCGACTTAGGAGGCAGTTGCTGGCCAGCTCTTGGTCGCACCCTGATAAAAATGAAACAATTGTGGCAGTGTCTTATTCTCGCCCATGGGATTAACAATAGGAAGCTGAAATGATAGCTACAAATAACATAAAATACTGTGGGGAAACTCTAGCCAAACAAGTGACAGACCTGCATGATAAGAACTTTAAATCTTTGAAGAAAGAAATTGAAAAAGATCAGAAAATGGAAAGATCTCCCATGTTCATGGATAGGTAAGATCAACATAGTAAAAATGGCAATCTTACCAAAAGCAGTCTACAGAGTCAATGCAATCCCCATCAAAATCCCAATGCAATTCTTCACATCTTGAAAGAACAACAGTCAACTTCATATGGAAAAACAAAAAAAACACAGGATAGCCAAAACAATCCTGGACAATAAAGGAACTTTCAGAGGCATCACCATCCCTGACTTCAAGGTCTACTATAG